GTGTGAAGCTTTTGAGGAGCCTAAAGAGTGCATGTGTGAAGCTTTTGAGGAGCCTAAAGAGTGCATGTGTGAAGCTTTTGAGGAGCCTAAAGAGTGCATGTGTGAAGCTTTTGAGGAGCCTAAAGAGTGCATGTGTGAAGCTTTTGAGGAGCCTAAAGAGTGCATGTGTGAAGCTTTTGAGGAGCCTAAATAGTGCATGTGTGAAGCTTTTGAGATGCCTAAAGAGTGCATGTGTGAAGCTTTTGAGGAGCCTAAATAGTGCATGTGTGAAGCTTTTGAGATGCCTAAATAGTGCATGTGTGAAGCTTTTGAGATGCCTAAAGAGTGCATGTGTGAAGCTTTTGAGGAGCCTAAAGAGTGCATGTGTGAAGCTTTTGAGGAGCCTAAAGAGTGCATGTGTGAAGCTTTTGAGGAGCCTAAAGAGTGCATGTGTGAAGCTTTTGAGGAGCCTAAAGAGTGCATGTGTGAAGCTTTTGAGGAGCCTAAAGAGTGCATGTGTGAAGCTTTTGAGGAGCCTAAAGAGTGCATGTGTGAAGCTTTTGAGGAGCCTAAAGAGTGCATGTGTGAAGCTTTTGAGGAGCCTAAAGAGTGCATGTGTGAAGCTTTTGAGGAGCCTAAAGAGTGCATGTGTGAAGCTTTTGAGGAGCCTAAAGAGTGCATGTGTGAAGCTTTTGAGGAGCCTAAAGAGTGCATGTGTGAAGCTTTTGAGGAGCCTAAAGAGTGCATGTGTGAAGCTTTTGAGGAGCCTAAAGAGTGCATGTGTGAAGCTTTTGAGGAGCCTAAAGAGTGCATGTGTGAAGCTTTTGAGGAGCCTAAAGAGTGCATGTGTGAAGCTTTTGAGATGCCTAAAGAGTGCATGTGTGAAGCTTTTGAGGAGCCTAAATAGTGCATGTGTGAAGCTTTTGAGATGCCTAAATAGTGCATGTGTGAAGCTTTTGAGATGCCTAAAGAGTGCATGTGTGAAGCTTTTGAGGAGCCTAAAGAGTGCATGTGTGAAGCTTTTGAGGAGCCTAAAGAGTGCATGTGTGAAGCTTTTGAGGAGCCTAAAGAGTGCATGTGTGAAGCTTTTGAGGAGCCTAAAGAGTGCATGTGTGAAGCTTTTGAGGAGCCTAAAGAGTGCATGTGTGAAGCTTTTGAGGAGCCTAAAGAGTGCATGTGTGAAGCTTTTGAGGAGCCTAAAGAGTGCATGTGTGAAGCTTTTGAGGAGCCTAAAGAGTGCATGTGTGAAGCTTTTGAGGAGCCTAAAGAGTGCATGTGTGAAGCTTTTGAGGAGCCTAAAGAGTGCATGTGTGAAGCTTTTGAGGAGCCTAAAGAGTGCATGTGTGAAGCTTTTGAGGAGCCTAAATAGTGCATGTGTGAAGCTTTTGAGATGCCTAAAGAGTGCATGTGTGAAGCTTTTGAGGAGCCTAAATAGTGCATGTGTGAAGCTTTTGAGATGCCTAAATAGTGCATGTGTGAAGCTTTTGAGATGCCTAAAGAGTGCATGTGTGAAGCTTTTGAGGAGCCTAAAGAGTGCATGTGTGAAGCTTTTGAGGAGCCTAAAGAGTGCATGTGTGAAGCTTTTGAGGAGCCTAAAGAGTGCATGTGTGAAGCTTTTGAGGAGCCTAAAGAGTGCATGTGTGAAGCTTTTGAGGAGCCTAAAGAGTGCATGTGTGAAGCTTTTGAGGAGCCTAAAGAGTGCATGTGTGAAGCTTTTGAGGAGCCTAAAGAGTGCATGTGTGAAGCTTTTGAGGAGCCTAAAGAGTGCATGTGTGAAGCTTTTGAGGAGCCTAAAGAGTGCATGTGTGAAGCTTTTGAGGAGCCTAAAGAGTGCATGTGTGAAGCTTTTGAGGAGCCTAAAGAGTGCATGTGTGAAGCTTTTGAGGAGCCTAAATAGTGCATGTGTGAAGCTTTTGAGATGCCTAAAGAGTGCATGTGTGAAGCTTTTGAGGAGCCTAAATAGTGCATGTGTGAAGCTTTTGAGATGCCTAAAGAGTGCATGTGTGAAGCTTTTGAGATGCCTAAAGAGTGCATGTGTGAAGCTTTTGAGGAGCCTAAATAGTGCATGTGTGAAGCTTTTGAGATGCCTAAAGAGTGCATGTGTGAAGCTTTTGAGGAGCCTAAAGAGTGCATGTGTGAAGCTTTTGAGGAGCCTAAAGAGTGCATGTGTGAAGCTTTTGAGGAGCCTAAAGAGTGCATGTGTGAAGCTTTTGAGGAGCCTAAAGAGTGCATGTGTGAAGCTTTTGAGGAGCCTAAATAGTGCATGTGTGAAGCTTTTGAGATGCCCAAAGAGTGCATGTGTGAAGCTTTTGAGGAGCCTAAATAGTGCATGTGTGAAGCTTTTGAGATGCCTAAAGAGTGCATGTGTGAAGCTTTTGAGGAGCCTAAAGAGTGCATGTGTGAAGCTTTTGAGGAGCCTAAAGAGTGCATGTGTGAAGCTTTTGAGGAGCCTAAAGAGTGCATGTGTGAAGCTTTTGAGGAGCCTAAAGAGTGCATGTGTGAAGCTTTTGAGGAGCCTAAAGAGTGCATGTGTGAAGCTTTTGAGGAGCCTAAAGAGTGCATGTGTGAAGCTTTTGAGGAGCCTAAATAGTGCATGTGTGAAGCTTTTGAGGAGCCTAAAGAGTGCATGTGTGAAGCTTTTGAGGAGCCTAAATAGTGCATGTGTGAAGCTTTTGAGATGCCTAAAGAGTGCATGTGTGAAGCTTTTGAGGAGCCTAAATAGTGCATGTGTGAAGCTTTTGAGATGCCTAAATAGTGCATGTGTGAAGCTTTTGAGATGCCTAAAGAGTGCATGTGTGAAGCTTTTGAGGAGCCTAAAGAGTGCATGTGTGAAGCTTTTGAGGAGCCTAAAGAGTGCATGTGTGAAGCTTTTGAGGAGCCTAAAGAGTGCATGTGTGAAGCTTTTGAGGAGCCTAAAGAGTGCATGTGTGAAGCTTTTGAGGAGCCTAAAGAGTGCATGTGTGAAGCTTTTGAGGAGCCTAAAGAGTGCATGTGTGAAGCTTTTGAGGAGCCTAAAGAGTGCATGTGTGAAGCTTTTGAGGAGCCTAAAGAGTGCATGTGTGAAGCTTTTGAGGAGCCTAAATAGTGCATGTGTGAAGCTTTTGAGATGCCTAAAGAGTGCATGTGTGAAGCTTTTGAGGAGCCTAAAGAGTGCATGTGTGAAGCTTTTGAGGAGCCTAAAGAGTGCATGTGTGAAGCTTTTGAGGAGCCTAAAGAGTGCATGTGTGAAGCTTTTGAGGAGCCTAAAGAGTGCATGTGTGAAGCTTTTGAGGAGCCTAAAGAGTGCATGTGTGAAGCTTTTGAGGAGCCTAAAGAGTGCATGTGTGAAGCTTTTGAGGAGCCTAAAGAGTGCATGTGTGAAGCTTTTGAGGAGCCTAAAGAGTGCATGTGTGAAGCTTTTGAGGAGCCTAAAGAGTGCATGTGTGAAGCTTTTGAGATGCCTAAAGAGTGCATGTGTGAAGCTTTTGAGGAGCCTAAATAGTGCATGTGTGAAGCTTTTGAGATGCCTAAATAGTGCATGTGTGAAGCTTTTGAGATGCCTAAAGAGTGCATGTGTGAAGCTTTTGAGGAGCCTAAAGAGTGCATGTGTGAAGCTTTTGAGGAGCCTAAAGAGTGCATGTGTGAAGCTTTTGAGGAGCCTAAAGAGTGCATGTGTGAAGCTTTTGAGGAGCCTAAAGAGTGCATGTGTGAAGCTTTTGAGGAGCCTAAAGAGTGCATGTGTGAAGCTTTTGAGGAGCCTAAAGAGTGCATGTGTGAAGCTTTTGAGGAGCCTAAAGAGTGCATGTGTGAAGCTTTTGAGGAGCCTAAAGAGTGCATGTGTGAAGCTTTTGAGGAGCCTAAAGAGTGCATGTGTGAAGCTTTTGAGGAGCCTAAAGAGTGCATGTGTGAAGCTTTTGAGGAGCCTAAAGAGTGCATGTGTGAAGCTTTTGAGGAGCCTAAATAGTGCATGTGTGAAGCTTTTGAGATGCCTAAAGAGTGCATGTGTGAAGCTTTTGAGGAGCCTAAATAGTGCATGTGTGAAGCTTTTGAGATGCCTAAATAGTGCATGTGTGAAGCTTTTGAGATGCCTAAAGAGTGCATGTGTGAAGCTTTTGAGGAGCCTAAAGAGTGCATGTGTGAAGCTTTTGAGGAGCCTAAAGAGTGCATGTGTGAAGCTTTTGAGGAGCCTAAAGAGTGCATGTGTGAAGCTTTTGAGGAGCCTAAAGAGTGCATGTGTGAAGCTTTTGAGGAGCCTAAAGAGTGCATGTGTGAAGCTTTTGAGGAGCCTAAAGAGTGCATGTGTGAAGCTCAAGACCTTTTTGTTTCCACCCATCAACATGCGCTTGTATAAACCTTTAACTTGTGTGCATGCGTGCATGTGAGTGCACTACACCTTCTCTGTTGCTCCCCCCACACAAATTCTTCCAAACCAACTCTCTCATCACAGCATCTGAAGCTCATGCCGTCTCCAATGGGAGTGCACCTGGAGAAGTTGGATGCATGTATGTGACTATTCACCAACCATAACGTTCGCAGATCTGACGAATCAGACCAGAAGCATCTGAAGCTCGTGACTGTCGTCGCCCGAAACATCATCTCATCATCGTCCCTCCAGTCCTGAACCGCATCCCGCCGACTGGCTCCACTGACAATGCTCCACTGCACTGCAAGGCACACTCGTCCCATCCCCTCTCTTCCCCTCCCCCTCTGATTCCATGCGCTCTGAGAATTCCCAAAAGCGCTTCTCCTCACCACGTCCCTGCAAGTTGCACCATCGACCTGCGCCACTACGCCATCTCCGCCCACCCCTCGTGTTGTAAAGCCCCGTGGGATGAAGTCCCTCTTGTTCTTTCCTCCATCCCTCTCCTTGCATCAGGTGAAACTGTCCGACTGTCGCCGTGTGCTGCTGCTGAACCACGACCCTGCCAGTGGTACCATTCACATGCGTCACTACGCCATCACAGCCCGCCCTGTGGGCGTGCCAAAGCGTCTCTTGTCCCAACCTTTCCCTCTCCTCCACCTCCACCCCTTCCCTCCATCAGGTGAAACTGTCCGACTGTCGCCGTGTGCTGCTGCTGAACCACGACCCTGCCAGTGGCACCATTGACATGCGTCACTACGCCATCACAGCCCGCCCTGTGGGCGTGTCAAAGCCGCTGCGTAATCTGGTGCATCACCACGCGCTGCCCAACCTCAGCCACCTTTCCGACATTAGTGAACTCGTTACAAGGTAAGAGCTCGTTACAAGGTAAGAGCTCGTTATAAGGTAAGGACGACCCGTTATAAGGTAAGGACCCGTTATAAGGTAAGGAGCCATTATAAGGTAAGGGGTGTTGAAGTCGCGGCGCAATCTGGTGCACCGCCACGCACTGCCAAACCTCAGCGATCTCTCTGATATAAGTGAACTCGTTACAAGGTAAGAGCTCGCTGTAAGGTAAGAGCTCATTATAAGGTAAGTAGTATCGAAGCCTCTACCACGCACTGCCCAACCTCAGCCACCTATCCGATATTAGAGAAGTCGTTACAAGGTGAGGAGGAGGACTTGTTGTAAGGTGAGGACTCGTTATAAGGTAAGGGCTCGTTATGAGGTTGGAACTGGTTACAAGGTAAGGGCTTACATCGTAGGAACTGGGTGCGTCTTATCCCTCAGACAGTGAAGCAGGCAAGGGCAGCAGAGTGCGAGCTCCTCAGGACATGGTTCTTAACATACCCCTCCCCACTCCCACTACCCTCACTTTCCCGTACACACATGCATGCCAGCAGCTTTTCCTTCCGACAGTGAAGCGGGTGAGGGTAGCAGGGTGCAGGACCCGCAGGACATGGAGGGGGGGTGCCGGCGGCGCAGCAGAGCCAATGTGTGTGCTGTGTTGTGTTTCACTGTTCCTCTACCTGCTTATTCCTACACAGGCCGGCAGCGTATCCGTCAGACAGTGAAGCAGACGAAGGCAGCAGGGTGCAGGCTCCTCAGGACATGGGCCGGGGCGTGCGGGCGGCACAGCAGAGCCAGGTGAAGCTGCACGAGCTGACCCTCCCTTGCTATCTCCTTCCCCCCCACTCCCACACAGGCCGGTGACGCTGCATGCGCCGGGACCACGAGGTGACTTTTGAGTGGACTCAGAACTTACCAGGTGAAGCTGCACGAGCTGACCCTCACTACCCCTCTCCGCACACCCACTCCGCGCAGGCCGGCAGCCTATCCTTCAGACAGTGAAGCAGACGAGGGCAGCAGGGTGCAGGCTCCGCAGGACATGGGGCGGGGGGTGCGGGCGGCGCAGCAGAGCCAGGTGAAGCTGCACGAGCTGGGGCCACGTGTCACACTGCTACTGGTCAAGGTGGAGGAGGGGCTGTCCAACGGTGCTGTCATGTACCACCGATTCGGTGAGCGGGGGTGGGGGTGGGGGTGGGGGAGAGGGGGAGTGGGGAGAGAGAGGGAAAGAGGGTGGGGAAGAGGTGGGTATGCCTCTGTTTTAAGGTGGAGGAGGGGCTTTCTAACGGTGCTGTCATGTACCACCGATTTGGTGAGGGGGGGGGGGGGAGGGGGGGGGGGGAGGGGAGGGAGGGAGGGAGCTGGGTGGGGAGAGAAGGGGGGGTGAAGCAGGTGAAGCAGGTGATGCAGGTGATGGAGGTGATGCAGGTGCTTGTAAGACAATACAGCAAGGGAGGCTAACGAGGGGCTGTCCAACGGGGCCATCATGTACCACCGATTCGGTGAGCGGGTGGGGAGGGAGGGGGCTGGGTGGGGAGGGAAGAGGGGGAAGTGTGCGGGTCATAATCCTCTTTATAAGGCGATGCAGCAAGGGAAGGTGGAGGAGGGGCTGTCTAACGGCGCTGTCATGTACCACGGATTTGGTGAGGGGGGGTGGGGTAAGAGGGGGAAATGGGGGAGAGAAGGGGTAGAAAGGGGTGGACGGAGGAGAAGAGGAAGAGGGTGATGGAAGAGGGAGGTTGAAGGTGGAGGAGGGGCTGTCCAATAGTGCTGTCATGTACCACGGATTCGGTGAGCGGGGGGTTGAGGGGTGGGGAGAGAAAGGGGGGGTGGGGAGAGAAAGGGGGGGTGGGGAGGAAGGTGTGTGCAGGTTGTGGTCCTGCTTTTGAGACGTCTCAAAACAAGGTGCGTGCAGGTTGTGGTCCTGCTTTTGAGACGTCTCAAAACAAGGTGCGTGCAGGTTGTGGTCCTGCTTTTGAGACGTCTCAAAACAAGGTGAGTGCAGGTTGTGGTCCTGCTTTTGAGACGTCTCAAAACAAGGTGCGTGCAGGTTGTGGTCCTGCTTTTGAGACGTCTCAAAACAAGGTGCGTGCAGGTTGTGGTCCTGCTTTTGAGACGTCTCAAAACAAGGTGTGTGCTGGTTGTGATCCTGCTTTTGAGACGTCTCAAAACAAGGTGCGTGCAGGTTGTGGTCCTGCTTTTGAGACGTCTCAAAACAAGGTGTGTGCAGGTTGTGGTCCTGCTTTTGAGACGTCTCAAAACAAGGTGCGTGCACGTTGTGGTCCTGCTTTTGAGACGTCTCAAAACAAGGTGGGTGCAGGTTGTGATCCTGCTTTTGAGACGTCTCAAAACAAGGTGGGTGCAGGTTGTGGTCCTGCTTTTGAGACGTCTCAAAACAAGGTGCGTGCAGGTTGTGGTCCTGCTTTTGAGACGTCTCAAAACAAGGTGCGTGCAGGTTGTGGTCCTGCTTTTGAGACGTCTCAAAACAAGGTGCGTGCAGGTTGTGGTCCTGCTTTTGAGACGTCTCAAAACAAGGTGGGTGCAGGTTGTGATCCTGCTTTTGAGACGTCTCAAAACAAGGTGGGTGCAGGTTGTGGTCCTGCTTTTGAGACGTCTCAAAACAAGGTGGGTGCAGGTTGTGATCCTGCTTTTGAGACGTCTCAAAACAAGGTGTGTGCAGGTTGTGGTCCTGCTTTTGAGACGTCTCAAAACAAGGTGGGTGCAGGTTGTGGTCCTGCTTTTGAGACGTCTCAAAACAAGGTGCGTGCATGTTGTGGTCCTGCTTTTGAGACGTCTCAAAACAAGGTGGGTGCAGGTTGTGGTCCTGCTTTTGAGACGTCTCAAAACAAGGTGCGTGCAGGTTGTGGTCCTGCTTTTGAGACGTCTCAAAACAAGGTGCGTGCTGGTTGTGATCCTGCTTTTGAGACGTCTCAAAACAAGGTGGGTGCAGGTTGTGATCCTGCTTTTGAGACGTCTCAAAACAAGGTGGGTGCAGGTTGTGGTCCTGCTTTTGAGACGTCTCAAAACAAGGTGGGTGCAGGTTGTGGTCCTGCTTTTGAGACGTCTCAAAACAAGGTGGGTGCAGGTTGTGGTCCTGCTTTTGAGACGTCTCAAAACAAGGTGCGTGCAGGTTGTGGTCCTGCTTTTGAGACGTCTCAAAACAAGGTGGGTGCAGGTTGTGGTCCTGCTTTTGAGACGTCTCAAAACAAGGTGCGTGCAGGTTGTGGTCCTGCTTTTGAGACGTCTCAAAACAAGGTGCGTGCAGGTTGTGGTCCTGCTTTTGAGACGTCTCAAAACAAGGTGCGTGCAGGTTGTGGTCCTGCTTTTGAGACGTCTCAAAACAAGGTGCGTGCAGGTTGTGGTCCTGCTTTTGAGACGTCTCAAAACAAGGTGCGTGCAGGTTGTGGTCCTGCTTTTGAGACGTCTCAAAACAAGGTGCGTGCAGGTTGTGGTCCTGCTTTTGAGATGTCTCAAAACAAGGTGCGTGCAGGTTGTGGTCCTGCTTTTGAGACGTCTCAAAACAAGGTGCGTGCAGGTTGTGGTCCTGCTTTTGAGACGTCTCAAAACAAGGTGCGTGCAGGTTGTGGTCCTGCTTTTGAGACGTCTCAAAACAAGGTGGGTGCAGGTTGTGGTCCTGCTTTTGAGACGTCTCAAAACAAGGTGCGTGCAGGTTGTGGTCCTGCTTTTGAGACGTCTCAAAACAAGGTGGGTGCAGGTTGTGGTCCTGCTTTTGAGACGTCTCAAAACAAGGTGCGTGCAGGTTGTGGTCCTGCTTTTGAGACGTCTCAAAACAAGGTGCGTGCAGGTTGTGGTCCTGCTTTTGAGACGTCTCAAAACAAGGTGCGTGCAGGTTGTGGTCCTGCTTTTGAGACGTCTCAAAACAAGGTGCGTGCAGGTTGTGGTCCTGCTTTTGAGACGTCTCAAAACAAGGTGCGTGCAGGTTGTGGTCCTGCTTTTGAGACGTCTCAAAACAAGTTGCGTGCAGGTTGTGGTCCTGCTTTTGAGACGTCTCAAAACAAGGTGCGTGCAGGTTGTGGTCCTGCTTTTGAGACGTCTCAAAACAAGGTGCGTGCAGGTTGTGGTCCTGCTTTTGAGACGTCTCAAAACAAGGTGCGTGCAGGTTGTGGTCCTGCTTTTGAGACGTCTCAAAACAAGGTGCGTGCAGGTTGTGGTCCTGCTTTTGAGACGTCTCAAAACAAGGTGCGTGCAGGTTGTGGTCCTGCTTTTGAGACGTCTCAAAACAAGGTGGGTGCAGGTTGTGGTCCTGCTTTTGAGACGTCTCAAAACAAGGTGGGTGCAGGTTGTGGTCCTGCTTTTGAGACATCTCAAAACAAGGTGTGTGCAGGTTGTGGTCCTGCTTTTGAGACGTCTCAAAACAAGGTGCGTGCAGGTTGTGGTCCTGCTTTTGAGACGTCTCAAAACAAGGTGCGTGCAGGTTGTGGTCCTGCTTTTGAGACGTCTCAAAACAAGGTGGGTGCAGGTTGTGGTCCTGCTTTTGAGACGTCTCAAAACAAGGTGGGTGCAGGTTGTGGTCCTGCTTTTGAGACGTCTCAAAACAAGGTGCGTGCAGGTTGTGGTCCTGCTTTTGAGACGTCTCAAAACAAGGTGGGTGCAGGTTGTGGTCCTGCTTTTGAGACGTCTCAAAACAAGGTGCGTGCAGGTTGTGATCCTGCTTTTGAGACGTCTCAAAACAAGGTGCGTGCAGGTTGTGGTCCTGCTTTTGAGACGTCTCAAAACAAGGTGCGTGCAGGTTGTGGTCCTGCTTTTGAGACGTCTCAAAACAAGGTGCGTGCAGGTTGTGGTCCTGCTTTTGAGACGTCTCAAAACAAGGTGGGTGCAGGTTGTGGTCCTGCTTTTGAGACGTCTCAAAACAAGGTGGGTGCAGGTTGTGGTCCTGCTTTTGAGACGTCTCAAAACAAGGTGCGTGCAGGTTGTGGTCCTGCTTTTGAGACGTCTCAAAACAAGGTGGGTGCAGGTTGTGGTCCTGCTTTTGAGACGTCTCAAAACAAGGTGCGTGCAGGTTGGGTCCTGCTTTTGAGACGTCTCAAAACAAGGTGCGTGCAGGTTGTGGTCCTGCTTTTGAGACGTCTCAAAACAAGGTGCGTGCAGGTTGTGATCCTGCTTTGAGACGTCTCAAAACAAGGTGCGTGCAGGTTGTGGTCCTGCTTTTGAGACGTCTCAAAACAAGGTGGGTGCAGGTTGTGGTCCTGCTTTTGAGACGTCTCAAAACAAGGTGCGTGCAGGTTGTGATCCTGCTTTTGAGACGTCTCAAAACAAGGTGGGTGCAGGTTGTGGTCCTGCTTTTGAGACGTCTCAAAACAAGGTGGGTGCAGGTTGTGGTCCTGCTTTTGAGACGTCTCAAAACAAGGTGCGTGCAGGTTGTGGTCCTGCTTTTGAGACGTCTCAAAACAAGGTGGGTGCAGGTTGTGGTCCTGCTTTTGAGACATCTCAAAACAAGGTGCGTGCAGGTTGTGGTCCTGCTTTTGAGACGTCTCAAAACAAGGTGCGTGCAGGTTGTGGTCCTGCTTTTGAGACGTCTCAAAACAAGGTGCGTGCACGTTGTGGTCCTGCTTTTGAGACGTCTCAAAACAAGGTGGGTGCAGGTTGTGGTCCTGCTTTTGAGACGTCTCAAAACAAGGTGGGTGCAGGTTGTGATCCTGCTTTTGAGACGTCTCAAAACAAGGTGCGTGCAGGTTGTGATCCTGCTTGTAAGCCGATGCAGCAAGGGAAGGATAAGGAGCGGCTGTCTAACGGCCCTGTCATGTCATGTACCACGGATTTGGTGAGCAGGGGAGAGGGGGGAGAGGGGGGAGAGGGGGGAGAGGGGGGAGAGAGGGGAGTGGTGCATGAAGGGGAGAGGGGGGAGAGGGGGGAGGGGTGCGTGGGGGGGAGAGGGGGAGGAGGGGCTGTCTAACGGCGCTGTCATGTACCACGGATTCGGTAAGCGGGAGTGAGGAGGAAGAGGGGTAGAGAGGGGCGAGAATGGGTAGAAAGAAAGGGGAGGGAAGGGGGGGAAGAGGGGGAAGAGGGGAAGAGGTTGGGGAAGGGGGTGGGTGGGTATGCCTGTGTTTGAAGGTCGAGCAGCAGGGGCTGTCCAACGGTGCTGACATGTACCAACGATTTCTGGTGAGGAGGGGGGTTGTGGAGAAATACAGCAACGACCATCGCCTGTGCTCACTCACATCCTCCATGCCTCCATGTCCTCACATCCCCCCCTTCCTACCCCCTTTCTTTCCCCCACTTTGCCAGTGGAGAAGACAGCAGAGGAGGAGGCGGATCTGCAGCAGAGGGCGGGAGAGAGTGAAGTAATGATTGTCATCTGTTTCCATCCCCACTTCCACCTATTTCAGTCGAGAAGACAGCGGAGGAGGAGGCGGATCTGCAGCAGAGGGCGGAGGAGCGGCAGAGGGAGAAGAAAAGGCGCAAGGAGGAGCAGGAGGCAAACGTGCGGAGGAAGAAGATGTGAGTGGGGGTTCTGGGGGGAGGGGGGGAGAGGGGGAAGGAGGGTGAGGGGGGGAGGGGGTTGGTGAGGGGGAAGGGGGGTGAGGGGTGAGGGGGTTGGTGAGGGGGAAGGGGGGTGAAGGGGGAGGGGGTTGGTGAGGGGCAGGGACGGGCAGGGAGGGCCAAGCATTAGAGGATGAATGCAGAACAGCCAGAAGGAGGAGCAGGAGGCGAATGTGAGTAGGAAAGAGATGTGTGTGGGGAGCCTTGGGGGAGGTGGGGTGAGAAGAATAAGTGATGGCGCCCAAAGGTGGGGAGATGGCCCTTGGGGCGAGATGCGATCAGTCTCCTATGACCCCTACCTTCTCCACGCCTTTTGAGACACCTCAAAAGCTGAAGGTGGGGAGATGGCCCATGAAGCAAGCTGGCTATCAGTCTCATATACCCTGTGCTATCATGAAGCGAGCCCTACCTTCTCCACGCCTGTTCTTGCTGCCAGGCTCAAGGCATCGAAATACAAGGCAACTGGGGGAGGAAGGGAAGGAGTGCCGTAGGGAATGAAGCGAAAGGAAGTGCTCTCAACTCACTCTTCTGCCTTTTCATCCTTCTCCCCCCCTTTTTTCTTACCGCCAGGCTCAAAGCATCCAAGGGCAAGGCAGCAGGTGGGGAGGACAGCGATGGGGAGGAAGAGCAAGGGAAGGCGGTGGGGGCGAGGGAGGGCGAGGGGGAGGAGGAGGAGGAAGATGATATGGACTGGTATCGCAAGGAGGTTGGCGAGGAGCCCGATGACAGTAAGTGTTTATTCTTGTTTTTCTTCTTCTTAAATTAAAAAAAAAAAACCCTTTTGAAAATTGGTTAACATAACCCTTTGTGCAATTCCCCTGTGGCAAAACCATTCTGCAATTCCCTTTGAGGCAAAGGCATGCGTGTATGTGCAAAAGAGCACGACTTCGACAATACGGGTGCCGCAGAGGAAAACAAGCATCCGAAAAGAAACACCCGGCAAACGCTGTTGCTTGCTGTCCTGACAACGGAATAAGCAAGTTCTTGTCAGCAGGCTGTCAGGCGTGCATCACTCCCTAGCATGTGACATGCCACATGACTATCATTCTGACTTACCGGTAGCAGTATTCTCCATGCTTCTTTTCCCCTGCTCAGCAGTCCTTGGTCGCATCATGCAAATCCATCATGCCTGTCATAAAACTATATTTCAAACTCTCCCCCATGTGTACCCACTCTTGGTTTCAAACCCATTCCTCCCCGCCCTCCCTCCCCCTTCCAGCCTTTGTCGGGGGTGGCTATGAGGGCAGTAGGGGGAGAGGCTTTGGGCGTGGTAGAGGAGGGGGGAGGGGGAGGGGCAGGGGGAGGGGAAGGGGTCGTGGGGGAGGCGGTAGAGGGGGGGAAGCAGGTGGAAGAGGGGGAAGGAGTGGGGGACGGGGGGGAGGTGGTCGGGGTGGGTGGTCACCGTCAGGGCGTGGAGGAGGGAGGGGAGGACGAGGTGGGATGAGGGGGAGGGGTAGGGGGAGGTAGGTAGGAAAGACATGGGACGGAAGAGTTGTTTCACAAAAGCATCCCACTGCCATGGTCCCAACTGATAAACTCCTGATTATTCCTAATGGAGGGAGTGGGGACGGGGGGAAGGTGGTCGGGGCCGGTGGTCGCCGTCAGGGCGTGGAGGGGGGGGAGGATGAGGAGGGATGAGGGGGAGGAAATGTATGGGAAGAAAGAGTGGTCTCACAAAAGCATCCCACTCCCATGGTTCCAACTGATAATTCCTTATAAGCGAGATGTCTAGTCTTACGCAGCTATAGAATTGTGCTTCAACTCTTGATTTTCCCCTTGAAGTTGACAGTTTCTGCTGTTCATTGTTGCTTTGCTTTGAAAAATTGACCAGAAACTGTAGAACGATTGAAGGCTATGAAACCCAACGTTCTGGAAAAAATACGGTACACGCATTTTTATCATGAGTATTGTATTCAGTAAGTTACTGAGACTCATCGCGTCCCACCGAGCCCCACCTGGCTACAGAAATGCTCGGCTGGGAGTAAAACTGAAAGCATCCAACCTCACCCTCCCCCACTCCCGCCTTCATTCTCCGCCTTCGACGGTTTTATTACATAGTGACTGGCTACATCACCAAGAGCCGGGCCTGAAAACAGGCGTTTTAGGTTCGGTTTTCTGTCCATCCAATGGAAATCTGTCAGAAAGCTCTCAACTTGTTCCGACGGATTTCCAATTACCGTATTCTTCCGACGGAAGTACGGATACTATTCTCTATGATCCGAGATCCCCAAATTCTAATTCCCATCAAGTATCCCAAATACTTACGAAAATATACGGTTATATACTTGTGCGCCCGATTTCAGCCAGATCCAATACAAATTTCACTTTCATTGCTGCTAGTATGCTATTAACATTTGAAATAAACATACATCGAAACGGCACCTCGTGTCGCACAGGCATATCCTTGTACAGTTTTCCCTGCTCGATTGTTTGAAGCACCATATCTTCCTACCACGTGCTGCGGATGACACCAAATATGTCCAGCATGCTTGCAAATATAGTAAATGCATGAATGATCAAGAGAAACCTTGTTTAAATCGACAAACGGACATCGATACGGCACCACGTTGCGCACAGGCCTATCCTTGCACAGTTTTCCCTGCTTGGTTGTTTGGAACACCACATCTTCCTACCACGTGCTGTGAATGACACCAAATATGTCCAACATGCTTTCAAATTTCGTAAATACATGAATGATCAAGAGAAACATTGTTTAAAGCGACAAACGAACATCGATACGGCACCACGTTGCGCACAAGCCTATCCTTGCACAATTTTCCCTGCTCAATTGTTTGGAACGCCATATCTTCCTACCATGTGCTGCGAATGACACCAAATCTGTCCAGCATGCTTGCAAATATAGTAAATGCATGAATGATCAAGAGAAGCTTGTTTAAATCGACAAACGAACATCGATACGGCACCACGTTGCGCACAGGCCTATCCTTGCACAGTTTCCCCTGCTCTGTTGTTTGGAACACCATATCTTCCTACCACGTGCTGCGAATGATACCAAATCTGTCCAGCATGCTTGAAAATATAGTAAATACATGAATGACCAATAGAAACCTTGTTTTAAGCGACAAACAAACGTCGATACAGCACCACATTGCGCACAGGCCTATCCTTGCACAATTTTCAGTGCTCAATTGTTTGGAACGCCATACCTTCCTGCCACATGCTGCGAATGACACCAAATCTGTCCAGCATGCTTGAAAATATAGTAAATGTATGAATTATCAAGAGAAACCTTGTTTAAACTGACAAACGGACGTCGATACGGCACCACGTTGCGCACAGGCCTATCCTTGCACAGTTTTCTGTGCTCAATTGTTTAGAACGCCATATCTTCCCGCCCCATGCAATGAATGGTACCAAATCTGTCCAGCATGCTTGCAAATATAGTAAATATATGAATGATCAAGATAAACCTTGTTTAGACCGACAAACAGACATCGATACGGCATTAGTTGCGCACAGGCCTATCGTTGCACAATTTTCCCTGCTCAATTGTTTGGATCGCCAGATCTTCCTACCGCGTGCTGCGAATGACACCAGATCTGTTCAGCATGCTTGCAAATATAGTAAATGCATGAATGATCAAGAAAAACATTGTTTAAATCGACAAACCGACATCGATGCGGCACCACGTTGCACACAGGCCTATCCTTGCACAGTTTTCCCTGCTCAATTGTTTGGAACGCCACATCTTCCTACAACGTTCTGCGAGTGAGACCAAATCTGTCCAGCATGCTTGAAAATGTAGTAAATACATGAATGATCAAGAGAAACCTTGGATAAAGCGACAAACGAACGTCGATACGGCACCACGTTGCGCACAGGCCTATCCTTGCACAATTTTCCCTGCTCAATTGTTTGGAACGCCATATCTTCCTACCATGTGCTGCGAATGACACCAAATCTGTCCAGAATGCTTGCAAATATAGTAAATGCATGAATGATCAAGAGAAGCTTGTTTAAATCGACAAACTAACATCGATACGGCACCACGTTGCGCACAGGCCTATCCTTGCACAGTTTTCCCTGCTCTGTTGTTTGGAACACCATATCTTCCTACCACGTGCTGCGAATGATACAAAATCTGTCCAGCATGCTTGAAAATATAGTAAATACATGAATGATCAATAGAAACCTTGTTTTAAGCGACAAACAAACGTCGATACGGCACCACATTGCTCACAGGCCTATCCTTGCACAGTTTTCAGTGCTCAATTGTTTGGAACGACATACCTTCCTGCCACATGCTGCGAATGACACCGAATCTGTCCAGCATGCTTGAAAATATAGTAAATGTATGAATTATCAAGAGAAACCTTGTTTAAACTGACAAACGGACGTCGATACGGCACCACGTTGCGCACAGGCCTATCCTTGCACAGTTTTCTGTGCTCAATTGTTTAGAACGCCATATCTTCCTGCCCCATGCTGCGAATGGTACCAAATCTGTCCAGCATGCTTGCAAATATAGTAAATGTATGAATGATCAAGATAAACCTTGTTTAGATCGACAAACAGACATCGATACGGCATTAGTTGCGCACAGGCCTATCCTTGCACAATTTTCCCTGCTCAATTGTTTGGATCGCCAGATCTTCCTACCGCGTGCTGCGAATGACACCAGATCTGTCCAGCATGCTTGCAAATATAGTAAATGTATGAATGATCAAGAAAAACATTGTTTAAATCGACAAACCGATATCGATACGGCACCACGTTGCACACAGGCCTATCCTTGCACAGTTTTCCCTGCTCAATTGTTTGGAACGCCACATCTTCCTACAACGTTCTGCGAATGAGACCAAATCTGTCCAGCATGCTTGAAAATGTAGTAAATACATGAATGATCAAGAGAAACCTTGTGTAAAGCGACAAACGAACGTCGATACGACACCACGTTGCGCACAGGCCTATCCTTGCACAATTTTCCCTGCTCAATTGTTTGGAACGCCATATCTTCCTACCATGTGCTGCGAATGACACCAAAT